ATATATACATATATTTATATATATAGTTTGTATTGACGTGCCTTAGCCGGCTGTTATGTGAGGCATTTTAATATTAAATCGTTCTGCAGCCACAGTTTAATAGCAGTTTTATTTTTGGTGACATTAGTTCAAAATTTTTGACGCGCTATAACAGCTTAGGGAATTCCCCACTACACAATACGGCTCATTGATACGCGTCACTGCTTACACGTTCAAACAATAAATATGAAATTAAATATTGAAAATATGAATACAGCACTAAATATTTGCATGGGAACTTTAATTTGGGTATTTACTTAAAATAAAGGACCAAATAATAAAAGAATGTCATGTAATTGTCAAAATTTCCCCCTTTGGAATAAAGTAAATACTTTTGCCGTCTTTTATTAGCCTATACAGAATATCGCCTAGAATTTTAAATGCTCCTCTCTATTTAACAAATATCCCTATGCATGTAAATACTATCGATAGCTTGAGTACATCGTTGCCTCTATCACAATATATCCTCTAAATTTCCCATTTCTGTTCGCATAAAAGGCACAAAATTATAAAATAATATGGAATGTTTATCGTTCGATGTTCTTTCAAAATGCCATAGCAAAACAACAGAAAGATAATATCACAATAGCCGCAGTTGGAAGCTCGCTTTGTATAACAGCATTTGTCGTAGCTAATTTCGGCGATTAGCGCTTTAGAGAAAATTTGCCAAGGGGCATCTGAACACGAGCTCCACGCCAATCAATAATGCTGAAAAGCCAGGCACAGCTGATTCTTCACTGAGTCATCGGGTAAACGGAAATACTACGCTGAAATTCTTAATGACGTCAATTGTTCATTAATATTTTGTGGGTTTTTCTAGCTAATTATGAGCAAAACAGGCAGCTTAATAAGAAAATGAAACTACATTTACGAGCATTTCTTTATGGCACTCGTAAAGTTAGTTATGCATTAAAGTGAAGGCTCCATATGGATTGTATGTGGAATGACCGAAGACAAAACGATCTTCAACAATGACAATTACAACCAATTGACACCTGGAGAATGTCGCTCAAATAGGTAAATGAACTTTTGGTAGTGTGCTATAGTTCTATTCTTTTTCGTTCTGCCGGAGATCCGTGTTAGCGTGATTATTGTTTTGGCTTCTTGTGGTTTCTGGTAGAAATAGTCTTAATTGGTTTCTAATGCCTAATTTGTATCACATTTTTCCAGTTTGCATAATCCCGGGCTATCGATCAATCGGAGTTGAGTTATGAATAGCGTTCATTTATGCTAATTTGTCTCCAAGTAGGCCAATAAGCTGTCGCATGGCTTTAGCTGTTGTGACTGATCTCTGGGAATTCTTTATGGGGGTCTTAACTGCTACCGGATCTGTGCGTACTCTCAGCTTTAGAGTGAACAACAATTTCAATTGGTACACACACACACACTTACACAGAGGGAGACAGACAGATTGAGCACTTGAGCTACGTATTTTGGTGTGTTTTATTTGTCTGAAACTAGTTTGCAGCTTGGTCGCCATTCTAATCAGATTTAAGCAATTCAATTGATGATTTGGCTGTCAAGTGGCGACGACACCGATCTACTCCAATATACTATGCTAGACGGTCAGTTCTGATTCAGGTTTTATTTTATTAAGGGGCACCTTTCGGAGCTCTGATAATGTTATCGACGCAGTCGCGCCACTCACTCGACTTCGGCTAGTTTTGAAATGATTTTTTTTCTATCTTATTTTTTTATTCTTATTTTTGTTTTATTTATTATTTGTTTTTTTTTTTTTTTCTTTTGCATTTTTGATTGTTTCCACGCTGGTTTGGAGATCGGGGTTTCGTGCCAGGCACCGTGTTGCTTCTTTCAGCATAAATTATACGTCACACATACATATTTAAGAAAAGTCAAGCGAACTTTTAGTTGTTGTCGATTTTGTTTCGAAATTCGTAGAATTAGTCAAAGCGCGACAACAAATACAGTTAACTGATTTTTTTCCCCCCATATTTTATATGAATATTTTGTAAAAATTTCTTTCACTTTATCTAAATTTAATAAGCCCTTAATATAGAAATCAAGCGTGGATTTATAGTTGCCAAGTTGAGGAATTGGTGCACATCAGTTCTTGATGATCGATTAGCTGACTATCGATTAATGCAGGCAGACGTTATTTGCATAATCAGCAACTCTCAGACTTGGTGTCTGCCTCAGTGTCTATTAGAGGCTCGCTTCTCCATCTCCATCTCGCTCACGCATACATGCGCACTCCCTCGCTGCTCATAAGTGTGCCACAGGTTTTTGGCACGTTAATCATTAATTCAAATGCGACACCTTTTCCGTATGCTTTGAACTTTGACTGACGACTAAATGGTTGCTTGTCCATGTTGTTGTCGCTGTATTTGTTTGTGTTTTAGCTTTGTTGGCATCATTTTTTTTAGCCGCATCATATTTGAGCTTTGTTGCTGTCTTCATAGCTCTCAGCACGCCCATTTGCATGAACCATTGTTTGCATTTAATTTTGATGCCGTGTTTTAATTTGCCCCTTTGTCAGTGTTAGTGTATGTGTCTGTGTATCTGATTTGTGTAAATTTCCTAGTTGTAAGCGAGCCGTATGGCCATACAGAATAGAACTGTTGTTTGCACAACCTTCACAACACTGTGAAAGCTTCGGAGTTTCATCGAAAAATTCCCTTTCGAATATCGCAGCACACGCCGAAAGGCCATTAACCGATATCGGTAGCCGTTTCGAGTCGAGATTAGCCATTACAAACAAACACACACACACACACACGTGTTGCATAATGCAGTAACAGCTGCTAACAGCAGTCATACTCTGGTAATTGCAGTCATGTTAAGTGTGAGTGTTGTTCTTGCTAATTGCCATCACCCACACATTTGCTGAGCTCAACCGTTTATATCCGCGTCGTCCGCCGTGCTTCAGAAATCTCAATTGACATCCGCTTCAGTTTCAATTTTGACACATTTTTAAGTCCAATTTGTCAAAAATGTGTGAGCAATGCGTCGGCGACAAGCTTCGATTGAAGCCTCCACATTGTCGTTGCAGAGTGCGCTCAAGTGATTAACAGAAGCTACTGCTAGAGCTGAGCGTCTGATTGCGTGTTGACAAAGTATCGATTAGAGTTTGTGCAGTATTTTCTTAGTGACACGCACAATTTCTAATATAATTAAACAGACGATAACAACTTATGATTTAATTACAAAAAGCACGAAGATTATTGTGCATGGCGCTCATCGCTATTCGAGATGCTTTAGTTGTGAACGGAATGCCCCGATCATAATCATGCTCATCACTAGCGCCTGCTGTTGTTATGTTGGCCGCCCGTTGTGTTTGCGCTACTGTTGCTGCTACTTGTTTGCTATATTGTTGGAGCACCTTGGGCACCCACACACACACATACAAACACAAACAAAACACACACGCAGATTTGAGCAGATGTGCACGCACGAATCTTCGTGTCGTGCTGCGGACTTGGTCGGCTGCGGCTGCTGACTTTGTCTTCTTGAACGAAAGCGTCCTTGACGCTGTAGCTTTTGTCTGATTTTTAATTAAAGAGCCGCGTGAGCCGCTAGCATTGTTGTTTGCCAGTTGTCGACACCAACTGCGACTGCGTTTCCACATGCGACGACGACTGTGGCAAGTGGGTCGCTCGTTGTTGTCGTTGCTAATTGATTGCAGTGTTCTCAGCTGGTTGGGCTGAGTATCTAATAACTTAAGCTTTAATTATGTATGTTGCCGCTGCTGCTGCGTTTTTTATCTATTTTTTTTTTTCATTTAAAGTTTTCTCACATTATTAATTTTTCTATTAAAGTTAATAGAAAAGGCGCTAATATATATATATGATTAATGGACAGCGGGCATATCATTTTAGACGCTACTGTAATTGCTTTGAACTTTGGAACAGGCCTCATTTAATTAGCTGCCCTCGTTGTTGTTGTTGTTGTTGTTACGGAGGTTGCGGTTGCCGTTGCATTGTTCGTCACTCTCGACTTTGGCGCAAATCCAGGCAACCTGTTGAGCGACATTCCAAGCACTGCTCCTGTGCACCGTGTGCAACCGGATCTGGCTACATATGTGCATATATATAGAGGCATAATAAAACAACCGCTGTACGTCCTTGAACTCTGCAAGGCATGCCAAGCAGTTAAGCTAGATTCCCGTTGAATGCAGACCAAGCCTCAGTCCTTGAGGCAGGCCTGGTCTGGGCCTGGGTGAAGGGCAGCTCCAGTTTTCTGATTGCAGCTGGCGATACAAGACGTGCCTCTTGGCCTCTTGTGTGAGTTTTATTTATAGACCGTTTTTCGTTATTAGCTGCCTCAAGGCTGACCAAAGCACTGGGCATCAGCAAAAGCAACAGCATCAGAGCATCATCATCAGCAACATCACCGTCAACAATTGTTATTTCTGTTGACTTTGTTACGTGGCCACTAGAATGTCGAAGGCGTTCAGATCATTAATCACAAATTACATGAACCGGAGATGTTTGCCTCCGTTACGAGACGTGCTCATAATTGTTTGCAATTGGTTTTGCTCTGCAGTCAACGTCGAAGTCGAGCTCAAACTCGAACTCGAATTCGACTCGGAGATATCTTGGATCATCATGAACAACTTTAACTGGTTATCTACACATTCTAATTGCAGCTGAAGATTCCCTTCAATGTGCCGTTCGCTTTGCGTGCCCGCGACATTGTGGTCAACATCGGCAAGAAGACATTGAAGGTGGGCATCAAAGGTCAAGAGCCGGTCATCGATGGCGAGCTGTATGCCGAGGTCAAGCAGGAGGAATCGCTTTGGGTGATCCAAGATAACAAAACGGTGGTCATTACACTCGAGAAGATCAATCGCATGAATTGGTGGAGTCGTTTGGTTACAACCGACCCGGAAATATCCACTCGCAAAATCAATCCAGAGTCATCCAAGCTGTCAGATCTGGATGGCGAAACACGTAGCATGGTGGAGAAAATGATGTACGATCAGCGCCAGAAGGAGATGGGTTTGCCAACCAGTGAGGATCGCAAGAAACAGGATATACTAGAGAAGTAAGTGAATGATCTCGCCCACTCTCACTTTCAGCTCTGAGTAATGCTTATCTTCCATCTTCACAGATTCAAGCAACAGCATCCCGAAATGGATTTCTCTAAATGCAAATTCAATTAGGATGTAGAACATTCTTTCCGTTTCTACAAATCTTCTCTACTTCAGTATCTAAAACACTGAATCAAATACACATAAACACTCACACACACACACCTACGCACACATTTGAAATGTGTTTAGCATTTTCTAACACTAACACTTTTAGATTAAAAGCAATTTATTAAACATGTGAAATATAACAAATTGTGAACAAATGCCGATGCCGTTTTACATATGTTAATAGTCAAGTTTTTTTTTGGTTGGGGTTATTTGTGAAAGCGAAAAGTTTCTATGATAGATCTATGGCGGGTCGCGCTATCAACAGATTAAGCAAAAATAAAAGAATAAGGAATTTAAATAAAAACTCGACTGATTTCGGTGGGAGCGACCCGAAGACACGATCTTAGCCGTGCGATAAAAGTAATTTTTCATTTTTATTGCTGCTTAAATGCAATTAATTTCGTGCTAATTTGTTGCCTTCATTCGTTCGCCCAATTCTCAGCGCGGTTTTGTTTCGGACTGCCCGTAAATGATATGGCCATGGTTGGGGCGAATGGAGAATATCGAATTGAGTCGCCTCGTATCGGTGTATAAAGTTCTCAGGCTATGTTTAATGATTGATTCGAGCTGGTAGATAGATCGATCGAACTATTCTATAGATAGTTCTCTGTTCCAGGTGTTTTTGCTACTTCAGCCTGTATTTTCAGTAGTTCTCTGGGTCATTGCCTCGATCTGTATACCCATTCAACCCGTTTCAGCGCTGTGCCATAAATTTACTTGGTTTCAGTGTGGTGCTTATGTTCTTTGTGTTTTTTTTTTTTTTTTTTTTAAATAGCTGTAAAGTGCTAAACTAAATTTTTTTGTTAAATGCCTAATTTGTTTTTTCGCTATCAGCAAGAAATCAAAGCTAACACGCGTCACAATTCAACATCTATCGAATGTCTCGATCAGAGAAGAACGTCGCCCGCATTTGTTAAATTAATCGACGGTTGAAATCTAGGCAGCTTAACTACATTTGCATATCGTCGTTGTAAACGATTGTTGTCATTAGTAGAGAATGTCTTCTGTGGAATATCGATTAAAGCAGATTAACAGATGTAGATATCGTTTCTAATGAATTTTGCCTCCTCCTGCGGGCTATCGATTAAAATGGCTGTAGATATCGTATCTAAGTTAACCTGTGTCATTAGAGATGTTTGTGTCCTTTGAAATATCGATTTCTTGAAACAATTTCAGTTTAACTGCAATTGTACTCGTCTCCTGTAGGGTATCGATTAAAAAGATCCGTAACAGTCTTAAAGCCACTCAATCGCATTTGCATACCGCTGCAAATGAACATTCGCAATGGCGTTGCTTTTTATTGTGTACAATTTCAACATGTAATGAAAAATGCATTAAAGGCGGGCAGTAACAAATATAAAATGCCGCAAACGAAATGCAATCAACGTACAATGTACCAGATTTTCTTCTTATGTTTAAACCAAATTGGGTTAAGCTAATGTTATAGAGTGGAAACGCTTTGATTACATCAACAATCAGAAATCTCTCTATACATATAATTAAAATAAATATCTAGGTAGTCATGATATTTAACCTTTTGGAGCGTGGCCAAGGCTAATATTTCTATTCGGCAATTGTTTCCGATTGCCCGCCGCCTGTTCCGCTTCGCTGCTCAACTCTAGATCACAGCTCAAATCCCCAAATTAGAAAATATGGCAGATACGCCCCGTTGTTGTACATGCAAAGTCGTAGTTTAATAGCCCATTAATTAAGTATAAATTTACTTTAAGCTGTGTTCAACAAGCCGCAAAAAAAGCACTAATTGATAAATGGATGCCAGCAGGCACACACTGGGAATAGAGCATTCAAACAAAGGAAGAATAAGAAGAAGAGTTAAGAGTGAAGCAAAATAGAAAAAGAAGTGCAACATTTAAATTGCCTTTGGCGTGTGGGTGGCTGCAATTGATTAATAATTAAACAAAAATTAATTAAGTTCTGACAAATTTCGCACAGCTGGAATCGTGGCATATCTCACGTCCAAGTCCAACAAATCTAATAAAACATTTAATGTCGAGAATCAACCTTCAACCGGATTCGTTTTAGATGTAGCTTTGCTTTAATTTATTTGTATTTTTGTTTGCCTTGTTAATGGGGCGCTACACATTCGAAAGTACAGACTGCTTTCATATTCAGCATCCGTTTATTTTTTGGGGAATTTGGCAATTAGCCAAGTAGTCAAGCCACTACAGTGAAAGCCATTGAAATGCGGTTAAGATAAGGAACGGAATCACAATCAAATTAAAACATGTTTGCCGAATAGAGAGAGAGAGAGAGAGAGAGATAGAGACAGATGCTGCTAGACTGTCGAAAATATAAATAACCATAAGTGCGCTATACCGTTAATTGACCTTCAGATTCATTTGAACTCCCCATACGATCTATAGGTAAAAAAAACTCCTTGTAAAGAATATGCTGGGGCTGGTGCTGGAGCTGATGAGGCTGGGACAGCGATTGAACTGTTAAATGACGCACGTGATGAATTGTGTCTGGTGAAGAGGCAGAGACCCAATAAATACATAAACAGACAAATATATAAATTTTCCAACCGTCGTATGCCATAAATAACGAATCCGGGTGCCTTGCTGAGAGACTTTGACTGTGGCTGTTGAGTGCCTGCCCCGCCATACCCTTTGTGCCATGCTCGAGGCTTTGCTGTTGTTTGTTCTCGTTGTGTTATTTGTGCTAATAACTCTTGTTGTTGTATTTGCTATTTCGAGTGTTTCCCACATCATCAAATCAAATGTTATATACACACATACGTACATATATGTGTGTGTGTGTATGTGTGGGGCGTACTCAGTCGCGTGGGTTATTTCACAGACTGTCTCCGTCTGGGCTTTGGGGTCTGTTGCCTGCTGTCTGATGTCTGGAGTCGCGTAATTGCTACTCATTTGTTATTTTTAGCATTAAATCTTGTTAATGCCGTCGCGCGCAGCCATTGCGGCCCATTAACTATAACAGTCGACCGACTTGAATGTTTATTTTTATGCACGCGTCATGCTGCCTGCTCGGTCACACCGTCCCTTCGCCCCTTTGCCATAGCAGAAACAAAAGACTTAGGCAACGAACTTCTTTCAGGTCTGCAGACAGCTGCCATCACATTTGGTTGGTCAGTTTTAAAACGGAAACACTAGACGCTGACATCTTGAAGGTCAGCCCTGAGCCAAGCAGCCCACCAGCTAGCCAGCCAGCCATCCATACAATTACCTCCACTTTACAAGCTCCAACAAAAACTGCTGCAACTGTAACCGAAAAAAAAAACACACACAATGTCTGAATCATTTCGAACTGGGGCGTGTGTTGGCCGCGCCGCCACGAATTGAGATATCGAAACGTTAGCCATGGGAGGCTCGATCAGCGCGATCAGCGTCGTCTGCGTCAGGTCTGCTGTTGCCAAGTGTGCCGCCTGTTGGTGGGCTTGTCACGGCGCCAATGAACTGTGAAGTGTCAGCGACTGCCACCGTGGCCTGCCTCGCCTCTGCTTGGCATGCAAATGCCGCTTGGCAGCTTGTCCATGACGAAGATGCGCCTAGATTAATGTCATAGCTTTAGTTCTGGCTCTTGCATCAGCCAAACGTTCTGCATTGGTTTGCATGCCAATGCCTACATATCCGGCTGACAGTCACAATAGGTGACTGTGCTCCCGGACCTCGTCGAGCAGTCAGTCGCCCACATCGCAAGAATCCCATTCACTTTGCCAGAGCCGACTGCCTGCAGGAATTTCGCAATTTGCTTTGCTTATCGTCCGTAATATTTGCAATGCTAATGGGCTCAACTGCAACTGCGGGCAAATGCAGGTCTGGCAACGCTGTTATAACAGCTGAATGCAAACCTCAAACTGTTATACAAACAGAAAACAAAGTTGCAATGAAATCTGGTTAGCTTTATGTCGTATATATTAATCAATTACAAAGGCAGCTGCAAAGAAGTCGAAACTGTTATACAAAAGAAGATGAAAAGCAAATATATGTACATACTGTTATACAGAGTGCTGTGCAACATTTCAGTGGAATATACAATATAAACCCTCTAGCTGTTATCTAAATATGTATAGTTAACTGATAATGTTATACTAATTGAAAATATGCTCTATAACTTATATTGTTATATAATACTCTTGTTTAAGCTGTTATACAATTAATTACTAGACTCTATGAAGTCAATTGAAAACTGTTATACTATTGGCTGCTAAACAAGCTTTATGGAACTCCATCGGCTGCAGCTGCCGCATAGCTGGTTTGCTGCGATATTTATCACGAGATTGTCCGTTTTTGGCGTGGCTTTTTTCTTCTATCTGAACTATGACTAATCTGCAGGTATTTAGAGTGCTAGAGTGGCCATTGTGTATTGTATTGCATTGCATTGGCTATTCCATCGATAAGGCGAATACAAATGTTGGCCACTTGGAAAGCTCGTGGGTGGCAGCGGACCACCATGTTGAGCCAGATAATCGCCTTTATTAGCAACAATGGCATTTGCAAATCGTTTCGGCGGTTCTTTATGCTGGCGTTAATCGTCTGGGAATGTTGTGAAAGGCAGTCGATGATGCATCGCATCGCATCGAAATATGAATGCCTAATGAAGATGCGCTTGCTAATGTGTTCAGCAGAACTCGGCTCGGAGCACATTCAATGAATAATCATCGAGTAATTACAGTTGTGCAAGATTTACGGAAGACAACAAGTTGATTAAACTCTTGAATACATTCGAAAGTATTATTATATACATATATGCCGGAGGGAAGAATGAATATCTCTAATTTAAGGCGTGATTCATTCACATATTCGGGAATTTCTCACTCAACTTTAGATAAGCTTTGTAACTCACCCAAATATCCCACTAAATTCACACTCGATAGCTAAACGCTTGTGTCGATTATTTAACATTTCTACCTTTGCGTATTTCATTACTAATTGATGGGCAAGCAAATGCTCAATGCTCAAACGAGATCCCCAATTAGAGAGTCTCTGATGATCGGCAGTAACTTAGCTCTGTGGACTGAGTGACCTTTTATACACTCCCAGCTCAATCAAACAACTCAAATTAAGTCGAGTGTGACTTTCGTAACTGCCTTATATGCATAGCTATAACATACGCGTATTTGTGATCCATGCTTCGGCTTGACATGGGAAATGCCCCCAGATATTCAAAGGTGACAGATGCCACACAATCCCTATATAA